AGCCGAAGATAAGCCGTTTACTGTTTTCCCACCGTACTTTTTTGAGCTTAGAGTTGTCAAACTCAACCTTGTAACGGATACCATGGGACGTGCATACAGGGTAGAGTAAGCGAACACCATTGTAAACGTGTATGTCCTGTAAGGTACCATTCTTGTGGGAGCAAGAGCACTCTAACAACTTTGTGATCCCCTCACGAAGAGGCCGCTGGAAATCCTCTCGTAAGAGTCGAAACTGTACGTCTAAATAGTGTTCCACGTCTTTGTAGGCACCACCAACTTTGTTTTTTCTGATGAAAGGCCTTCCTTTTCTCAAGATGTCCTCCTGAGTAGGAACAACACTAAGACATCGGAAATTTTCGGGTGGACTGACGTCATCGTTGTCTTCGGCTATGAGAGAGAGAAAGATTTGTTTGATAACAAAAACGTACAATTATAAAGGGCAAAATGAATCTTAAAAAGAATGTAGGATTCTTACCAATTCTCCGTGGTTTCATTTTCCTTTGCTTTTTCTCTTCCTCTTTCCTCTTCAACTCCTCAGCTTTTTCGATTCGCATTTGCATCATTTCATCCACCCCTTTCACAAGTGCTTCATCTTCCAATTGCCCCGAATCGAACGCCAACCTGATCGCACAATACAAGTCTGACAAAGGAAGATCAGAGTGAGAGTTTGGAAATCTTTGAAGCAATTCGTTCATCATTTGCTTAACGTTCCTTAAATACGCAACCACATCAAAAGGCGGGATTGGATCCACAAAGAGCCTGTTCAGGTTGCGCCTCAGGTGCAAATTGAGAAACAAAGACCCCGGTAATAGACTTAGCAGTTTGTACAGATCATCCCTGCTTCTGCTAGTGCAGGCTTTCGTGAAAATGTTTATTAATAAAACAACGCTGTCGTCTGTGATTGTTGACTGCTCTTTGACTAAGTACTCGGTAGAACGAAAGCAACTTTCTGATGTCAAATGGAGAACAATCTCGTCCGGGCTTTTGTTCTTCAGATTCTGAAGGTCCTTGAATTTTAATTGTCCCTCAGACTGAATACTTCCAGTGTCTCCTCCAGCCCTTCTTCCATCACCCCTTTCACCATTTGTAGCACTACTCTTCCAACCACCTCTCCAACTTCCTCTTCCTCCTCCGCCCCTTCCAAAACCTGCCCGACTACCCCGCTTACAGCCTTTCCAACTCCCTCTTCCCTTCCCAGCGGGCAAACTACTACCAGTCACCTCTTCAGCTTCTCTTTTAACATCCAATGTACCTTCCGGCCCTATGCTATTTCCGATGGCTCCACCAGCTTTTCCTCTAGCGCCCCCGCCACCACCTCTACCACTGCCACGCCAACCACCTCTCCAACCTCCATTTCGTCTCCCTCTACGATCTTCTCGTCCTTTCCAAATTTCCCTGGTTTGCTCCATTAGGATGTTTCTGACAAAAATAAGAGGAAGATCACTCACTTAAAAAGTGAATTTCACATATGCCTTCCAACTATGAAATCGGAAGGTCTCTGCTACCAAACCTTTTGCGGAACTTTTAAATCTCTCCTTATTCGACAACCAAAAATTCCGAAAGACCGACGATAATAGTCCTACATGCAAAGGACAAATCAAGCCATAACAACGGGCAAATAATATCACTGTTGAAATTTTAATTTGAAAACTTTTATGCAGTACTTAGAAAATAAATGCATAAGGGTTAGGAGGGTGAATGACCCCTCTCATTAAAAAAAGTCTGTCATTCACTTGGTATCAAAGAACAGCTATCCATATCTAACACAAAAACGTTCTGAATTCTGGCGAGTAAATACCATAGCGTTGATCGGCATTTACCCTCCCATTCGCGCATGTGCTTGTAACAAGGTAGAAGTTGGTATCACAGTTCTGATCACAGACAATTCAGGCTTTTTAGCAACTTCATTTTATGTAGGTATAAATACAATAAAGAAGGATTGGGAATAAGATTAACAAGGCAAGCACTGTTCAAAAAATGTGGAGATTCTTTGTTCAGTTAAAAATACTCCTACCATGAACAAATAAAAGATACCGGGCATCAATATGCATCAAGAGTCTTTTATGCATTGATTGCGTAAATAAAGAGAGACAGATTTTCTGATCTATGATCCTGTAGAACTCTACAAGCTACGCATAAAAGCCATGGTAATCAGTTATAATGTTTACAACAGAACGCACGAAAGTCATTGTTTTAACCCTTTAACTCCCAGATCAATTATGTAATTCTCCTCACTATCAACCATACAATTCTTATAACGTTCGTTCAGATAATTTAGTATTGCATCAACTAGTTATCCCCAAATTGATATTTTTCTTTAATCTCATTAGTTATTTGGTTGATATTATATTGATATTGTGAAGAGAAATTCTGTCTTAGTCACTCATAGGAGTTAAAGGATTAAAACCAGATCAGTACAAAAGCATTCTGGATTATCAACGACGTATGTGATTACTGCCACGTGTCAGATATTTACATGTTGAAAATGGACACCCACATCATGAGATATCCGTATTCCGTTCTAAGAACGAATCCTTAAGCGACGGTTAGCAAAATTTCACTCAACCACTCGATTGGACACGCGCCATATTAACTTTTGTATAAAAATAATTAAATAAAAATGGGATTTCGTTCGACGATTTGTCAGCGAAACTGTTCCGGACAGTTCCTGATGTCGATTCCTGATGACCTGATCTTAGCTCATAAAACCGGGTTATCCCATAGATATTCACTCTTAGGATCAGTTTACAAATTTCGAGCAAATTTGACGCTCACTTCGAGAAGATCATAACAAGATGTTTTGCATATTTCTTTATTTCCGGCTTGGATGGAGTGTTCTCATCATCATGACCGGCCTAACGTCAAGTCATTCCAATTTTCAAGATTCGAGCTAACTTGTTAACTTTCGAAAATTTGGTCACAAGTCATACATTTTATATATTTTAAATCCGTCATACACATCATACACATTGTTACTCTAAAGAATATAATTAAATATGCACGAAGGCCAACCTAAAGCTCTTTACAGCAATGGCAAACTGATTATTTCGCCGACCTATTTCCACTCTCTATCGGATAAAAGGTGCTGCACATTGTATGTGTTTGCTAGAGGTGGCATAGGTAGCGCTTTGCTAACAGTCTATGCAAACTAAGTCTTGAATTTCTATGCAATTGATCCCCTGCGAGATAGTGGTAGCTAAGTTTGAGATTGCCGATAACTTCTATTGTATGTATAAGTAACTCTCTCTCTACTCTTTACACTCTGATTCGACACTGGTAGATAAGGTTCAAGTTAGCGAAGTGAGATCTAGATATAAACTATGTAATGAATTTCGTAATGCCGGCTCAGATACTCTAGATATTTTGATTGCAATATTACATTGGGATACTTGAATATTTGCGTATACGTTTTAGCTCCGCATTACCTCAAATGCTAGACGAAGCCAACAAACATAGGCAAGCCACGACTTTTGTGAAGGATTAAACAACAGCTTGGTTTTTGTTCAATCGTCACATATCACTGTTGCATGATAAACTTCCTCATACGATTTTTCCAGAGCACAGATATAGAACTATCGCTATAGGAGCGACTAAACGAGAGCCAATTAAAATGCAGCAAAATTTCTTAGAAAGCGAAAGCTTTCTTCCGGGAAATAGGGAATTATGAGGTTACTTCCGCTGATAGAGAGCCTGAACCGAGCTTTTAGTTAAACTTTGACTCTGAAGGGTTTCAATGTTGAAATAAAACGGGAGTTCCTATGCTATTTCAGGAGTGGTAGCCACGTGATTATGTTTGCAGACCAGTTACAGCAACGCCGTGGAGAAATGGAGATGAGACACGACAGATTAAATGGATGGAATTCGGCCAAATACGATACCGTGTGCAATTATGAGCCTGTTTTAGAGGTTTTCAATAGACAAACACTACATATTAGATAGACACTAATAGGGAAAGGGGGATAGCGGAGAGGAAATTGACTCAATATCTGAGTGGCAGAGCCGGACAGGAAAATACTTGGCTCAAGTTCATGACGTACGCACCGTGCGTGGTGAGTTCCATGCGCTATAACCAATAGCCAAATATTTCCACGTTCGGCCAGACCTAATTCAGGTTATAAATATTTTAATATAATCGGCGTTTTGAAAATTGCTCTGATTACGGTGTATAGACAGGAAATTGAATAAACATAGTTACCTTACGTCAATTATATGTCTCTTTGACCACAGCTTCGATGTTTGCTTCTAACCAAAATTGTTCCTATCAGAGAACAGGTTTTTTTCGTGTTGTGGTATGTACGACTTGAATTTGCCGCATCATACGTAGCTCTGTAAATCAGTTTTTCTCCTTAATAAAATAGTTTATTTTTTCTCAGTGGGCACGGTAACGAATCCTACAATGTTATCGGTTCTTAGCGCGGTCCGGTTCTTAGCGCGGTCCTATCTCTGCCCACGGCATGGCAACGCTTTCTTGAGTCGCCGAATATATCCTTATCTTCGCTGCCATTTTTCATAAATTTATCTTGTTTTTCCGGCTAGCCGGGCAGTATTTTTAAGCAAAGACGTCTGTCACTATCTCAAGCCGATAAATAACTTCTTGATCCTCTCTTTTCTCTCTCTCTCAAATCACTTTGGTTAACAGAAAAATGCTGGTTTCAAAATGAATGTGTATAAGCAAAAGTGTCATTAAATTGGCCTAAAAACCGTCTGTAGTTAATTTTAATCCTTCACAAAAAGAACATAGAAAGTTAAAACGTGAGGTATTTGGTTACAATTGAGTTAATAGATGGAACATTCCTTCATTTAATATCTGAATTCTCTCAAAAAATTTGTTTGTGGTGAAAAGGCGAGCGAGGTTTTCAGTTCTACTTCAAATACGCTTTTGGTGAGTCTTTCCAAGTCCTCTCAATTTGAACATTTGTACCGCAAATTGTACAGCAGAAACTGAATGAATTCAACGAGAAAAAGACGCATTAAATTCTCTTGTGTCTAGTTGAAATGTCTCATTCGAATTAAGTTTTTGTGGAGGAAAGACCAAATTTACACACGCCATTGCAGCAAAAAAAAGAGCAAACTCTCACAACTTCAAACTAAATAATTTGACTTTACTTACAATTACATTCTTCGCCATTTGCTTACTGATCAGAGGTAAATCTTCGCACATTAGTTAATCGTCGATGAGAGTTAATAATACTTTCCGTGGGACCATTGACAGTTTTTGAAGAAAACATTGTCTTGACAATCCTTACCGAACTAGTTCCGTTGTTTTTCCAAAAATGCACATGCACTTTTTATTCTTACGCGCTCTCAAATGGACAGGTGTCAGTTTGTGACATATACTTGTAAAAATAATGTTTAAAGATTGTTTGGAAGCCTTTTAAATCACCTTTATCACTACGCAAATGAAAAAATGTTTTGGTGAAGCTTCCCTCTTTAATTTGCATAACCTCTATTTCAAGTACCATTTACTCGGTCAAAAATTGTTAAGTTTATAGAATATCTTGCCGCAATTACAGCCCTACATCATTCGGGTTCTTTTGGAAAGAATTTCGTAAAGTTTATGGAAAAAACTAAAAATGTTATTTACCAGCCAAGGTCAGTCCGTATTGGAAAAAATTGTGCCTTGTGTCTTGAGTACCGCCCTCGGCCTATGTAAAATCAAATTTTGAGAGCAATCAAAGCCCGAACTTGTTAACGCATTATTTGATACAATGTGTCTCAGGCAATAAACCAAATTGGAAATCCGACATTATGGAGCTTTCACTTGGGCAGAAACTATTTCAATTAATTCTTTGTTTTTCTTTTCGTCTTAAACTCATGGTGACTTATTCGTTAAGAACAATGATAAACTCTTCGTAGAAACTGATGAAAACCTAGAACAACAAACTTTTCGATTTACTGCCTGACTATATGAGGGTCGAAGGTAAAGACTCTATCCATCTTCATGGTACCTGACTGCAAGATTCCCACAAATTTGAGTTGTAACCATTTTGGCGCATTAGATTATTTCCTTTTTCAAACGCTATGTTGGGATTATGGTTCAATTTCACCCGTAGTTTAGCAAATTTCACTATCCCTCACTTAAATATCCGTCAATAACGAAGGAAAATAACCTTTAAAAGAAGGGTTAAATTAATCCGCAAAAATAACTCTTAAAAGTTCTAATCTACATAAAGTCGCGAGGATCAAAGTTTTGAATGTTAGCCATGTCAGAGAAGGCTGCATATCGTGCCCCATCCATGTCCCTAGCTAACTGATTGTCAGATCGCAGCTGATGATTAAGGCCTCCGATTCTCGAGCCGCATTCTGGACACTTGCCCTCTTCCATTGCTCCACCACATTCTGTAATGCAGTAAATGTGACCTTAAAGAATAAGCGAAACAAAAAAAGGAGTTTAAAGAAAAGTATTTTAGATGTTACGAGTTTCCGTATCTTGTGATCTGAAGAAACCGATTGGACGCCTTACGTGCATGATGCACTGATGACGTCTCCCTTTAGAAGCTTGGTCACCATTCGGTTCCTTACAGAACAAATCCATGGCCAAGCCTTTTTCATCTATCAATCAGCCCATGCGAGGAAATTAAGAAGGAATGATTTTATGTTCACTTCTTTGCAGCCCTTCCTCTGTTCAAAATTTAGCTGTGATCAAAAGAAACAACCTGAGAAATTCTTCCATTTCTCCCATTAAGGTTTTCCAGGAAGATTAAGAAAATTTCAAGGAAAGTTCATAGGGCTAAAATTTTGTCATTCAAACTCACCATTTGGACACTTGAACCAGTGTCCCTGTGCCATTCCCATGGCCTTCACGATCAGATCTTTTTCTTCTCTTGTAACCGTCTGGTAGTAAACTTCGAGATTTTGGCGGCGTCTGATCCGTTTGATTCGAGACATGTATTCCTCTCGATGCTTTCGTTCTGAAAAGGTCAGTTGAGCAGACATCTTTTAATTTTTTCACTTTTCATCCACTCCCATTACCGTATTTGAACAAAAACTTAGTAACAGTTTTCGTGTTATGTAAGAAAAGAAACGAATGGAAAGAAAACTCATCTCGCTAAAGTCTCTGGGAAAGGGCAATTGTGGTCAAATGGGTAATTAAGTCACTCAAACTACAAATCACACTTCCGTGGCTACCCCATTTCCTCTTTTCTCTGTTGTCCCATGAGAAGTGTCTAGTCAATATTTTACCGAGTTTAGGAAGGAGAAATGCGCAGAGGGTAAATTTTTCTAGCCCGGTAAACAAGTTTGTTTGAAACAGTATAAGGCTATTATACATTGCTCTAAAAACTTGAAACGCTAGTCTATCATTCAAGATAATGTTTTACTCTTCTATCATCTTTCGCAAATTGCGGTATACGAAAAAAAGTAAAAAGTTTGAGATTTCAAAGAGACATGAAATCGTTCCAAATTTTAGTTCTCTTTCTGTGTCCTTACCGATTTTCTTTTCAGAATCCAATGCTCTTTCAACACGATCTAACACGGCGGTCTCAATTAGTTCTAAAGTTTTTCCCCGGTTGTTGAGTTGCATTTTAAGCATTTTGAAGTCGATAAGAAGCTGTGTCCTGTACATTTCTTCTTTGAGCTCTTCCAGTTCTTGGTCGCTGAAGCGAACCCGAATCTTCATCACGCGGTTTCGGAGCTTATCGATGACCCCGTCTAATTCTTCCTTCGTTTCCAAGAAGGAATGTCTAGCGGAAAATCTGTTCGCTCTCCCCTCTTCCGCTTCTCTTCCTTTTTCGATGTTATCTTTAAGAGTCTGTAGGAAAATTAACAAGTTGATCTGATTCTCACACACATTCACTTGTTCATCCGTCAGATTCTTAGAGTCGAGGTATTTTGAAATTTTGTCTCGGTCTTCAGGGAACTCATGAATCTTCTGCACATTTGCTCTAGGAATCGATACTTTAAGTTCCCGCTGCTGTTTACTGAGTAAAATTTTCTGTTTTATTTTTTCGAAGTCCGCGAGCATCTTCTTGACAATATTGCCGTATCTTAAACTGGTACGAATCGGAACCCTGCACTTTGGGCAGAGCTTAAGTTGAACATCAACAGGCTTCCCATTCTGCGCGACTTCGGCCTGATCCATCCACTGATCCATCATTTTCACTTCAAACATGTGACCACAGTCCGCCAATTCAACGAATCGAGCGTCTGGTTCGTCTTCGGTACCGAAAAAGATTTCTGTGACTTCGTCCTTATGACACTCTCGGCACTTCTTTGGACATGGTTCCCCACAGAGACCAATGCAAGGATGACGGCATCGAAGGAGCCTTGGACATGGCTCATTGCATCGAGGGCGATCACACAACTCACCACATAATTTTTTGCACCTGTAATGAGGGCACTGCCAAACACACCTCTCGTTACATGGTTCGCAAGGCTCGCCACATTTCTTCTTGCAGTTGCTGTGCTTGCAGTAGTTACCACACTTTTCCTTGCATGGCGGACAATTCTTAGTACAGGGTTCAGAGCAGTTATGTCCGCAAAACAGTGTGCGGCCACACACTGCCTTACAAGGTTGGTGAACTCGACCGCGTAAACAATCACTGCAACTACCTGCATATAATGTGAAAACATTGAGTAAGAATTAAAAAACAATACTTTTCTCTACAAATTTCAAAGTAGAGGATTGTTACCGGGACCAAGCATATAATATAACTTCTCCGTTTCAAATTGTTCCATAATTTTCCATATTCTTTCATCATTCTTGAACTCGTTTTAACTCCCTCCGTAATCATTTTTATTTTTTTTCAATTCCAAGTCCGAAAATATAGAGATAAACATTTAAATTTTACCCTTAAACGTTTTCTTTTTAGTAAGTTTCATCAGCATGGGTATTCAAAACATTTAGGCCATGTTTCAGAAAGACTTGAAAATAAAACCTCTTAATTCTGACTCGACTTTAAAAAATACCCGCCTTCTCAACGGGTATAAAAGTATGTAGAACTCACACTTACCACCACAAGGGTGTTCGCAGTTTAAAGTCACACCACAAGGTGCCTTACATGGACTGTGCCGTGGATTCACATGGCATTCGACACCGTTTTCATGTCCACACGCCCATTTTTTCGTAGTAATGAAGGTGCAATTCTCAGTACACTCTTCATAGCACTTATTGGCGCATTTATGGCCACAGCGCAGAAACTTGGAACAAGGTGACTGGCACTGAGCCTCAGAACGACTTTTGGAGCAAGGTACGTTCTGGGTGTGACCGCATGGTAGACGTTTCATCACAAGCTCCATGCAAGGCCCGCAATCTTGATAGCATCTCCTGCGACACTTGTGATCCCGACGACAGATAGTCTTAGCACATGGCTTTTTACACTGGTATTCTTTGTGCTCTGGGTCTGTTGGATGACAGACCATCTCGCACACGTGACCACACTCGAGTCTTGCAGAGCATGGAACAGTGCAGCCTCCCTCTGGTGCTTTCTTGAAGTCCTCAGCGCGTGATGCTTGTATCACGTTTTGGGGATGGTTCTGGCACGTAAGTAGCAAAGCATCTCCCACATTCCCGCGCTGACGCATGTCGTCAATTATCCCTTTCCATAATTGACTCTTTGCTTCTAAAAGGCTGATGTTACCAATGCAGAAAAACCCTTTCTTTGCCCGTGACAGCGCCACACAAACCCTGTTTTCTGTCTGCAGGAAACCGATTTTACCTTCTTCGTTGCTTCGAACGAGAGATAGAAGAATGATGTCGTTTTCTTCTCCTTGGAAGTTATCCACTGCGCAGACTCGAACTCCACGGAAAAAGTCTTTGGGCATTTCTTTTTTGAGCTGTATTAGCTGCCCAGTGTAGGCTGTAAGGACTGTGATCTTCTCTCTTTCGTAGCCTTGAAGAATGAAATAGCGACAAAGGGCTGCAAGGAATTTGGCTTCGTGTTCATTTGACCTGCTCCTTCCCTCCTCCAAAAAATTCTGCGTAAAAAGATTATGGGTGAATGTGAAATAACCATAAAAAATCAGTATGTCATATGCTCCCTTCAGGCGCTTAATGAACCTTGATTCTTCAGCAGTAAGACAGTGAAATGGAACTATGACATGACGCCGGCCTCAGACGCCTGAGAGATATATCCTCGTTGTCAAATTCAGTAGAGGGGTTAAATCCAGCGAACCGATGTTTTAATTTTTCTGATGAGACATATACACCTATACAGATAAAGTATTCAATTTAAATCCCATTTCAATTGCCACTATTTGCATATTTATAATAGTGCTCCAATTCCTCTGGATATTTTGACATCATTGTTTTGAGCGCATGTTTCCTTAGTCACACGCTTAAATAATTTTTTTTGTTAGCGTAACTGTTAACCTAACAGAGCTCATATAAAAAATCTCTCACTCACCTCACTCTCAGCGTGGTCAACAAAATACATGTTGCGAGCCACCCCCTTGATATTCTCAAAATTCATAACTGATTCATGGTTCTCCAATTTTGGACTGAAGTAGATATGCTCCAGCATTTTAGAAATTTCAGGTCTCATTCGATGCTGTAATCGCAATCGTTCATAGGGCATTCCATTCTTCACCATTCTCTCGAAGAGTGACACGTCCAAATTGTAATCCTTGGCGAGTTCGTAAACCGTAGGGTTGGGGCGGAGCTGCTGATGATCACCAATCAGAATCAAGTGCTGGCATCCGGGAGTTAGCGATGTGAC